CAAAAATAATGTTATTCCAAACATTAAAATATCTCACATAATTATCTAGAGAGAGAGAAGTAGGCTGCTTGCGCGAGAGCAAAGACAGAGTTAGAGAACTGCTTGTGAGAGAGCTACACTTTTTGAGACCTAGCTTTTGGCGACCCATGAGGGAGTCTTTAAGCTTGAGGTATAAGCTGTCTGTTTGAGAACAGTGCAGAGGCCAAGCTTTTTTGGCGATCCGTGAGAGAGCCGTTAAACTAGCGATAGGCTGCCTGTGTTGAGAACAGTGTAGAGGCTAAGTTTTTTTTTGGCGATCCCAAAGAGAGCCGCTAAACTGGAGATAGACTGCCTGTTTTAGAACAGTGTAGAGGCCAAGTTTTTTGGTGACCCGTGAGAGAGCCGCTAAACTGGCGATAGGCTGCTGTTTGAGAACAGTGCAGATGCCAAATTTTTTTGGCGACCCGTGAGAGAGCCGCTAAGCTGGAGATAGGCTGCTTGATTGAGAACAGTGCAGAGGCCAAGTTTTTTTTTTTTTTAGCGATCCGTGAGAGAGCCGCTAAACTGGAGATAGGCTGCCTGTTTGAGAACAGTGCAGAGGCCAAGTTTTTTGGCGACCCGTGAGAGAGCCACTAAACTGGAGATAGGCTGCCTGTTTGAGAACAGTGCAGAGACTATGTTTTTTTTGGCGATCTCAAAGAGAGCCGCTAAACTAGAGATAGGCTGCCTGTTTGAGAACAGTGCAGATGCCAAGTTTTTTGGCGACCCGTGAGAGAGCCGCTAAACTGGCGATAGACTGCCTGTTTGAGAATAGTGTAGAGGCCAAATTTTTTTTGGCGACCCGTGAGAGAGCCGCTAAGCTGGAGATAGGCTGCCTGTGTTGAGAACAGTGCAGAAGCCAAGTTTTTTGGCGACCCGTGAGAGAGCCGCTAAACTAGAGATAGGCTGCGTGTTTGAGAACAGTGCAGAGGCCAAGTTTTTTTTTTTTTGGCGATCCCTGAGAGAGCCGCTAAACTGGAGATAGGCTGCCTGTTTGAGAACAGTGCAGAGGCAGGTCAAGTTTCTGGTGATCTGTGAGATGATTCACCTTGCCTAAACTTGTTGATTTCCTCAGCATTCATATATCTTTGAGCTTTTGTGAATAGTTCTGGCATGCTCTTTGGTGGTTGCTTTATTACTGAAAAAAAGAATCTGGATGAGCAGAGGCCTCCCAGGAAGGCAGTCATGGCGACTTTGTCATTGGGTTCCTCGATTTGGCGGACTTCCTCGTTAAAACGAGTGAGGTAACTCCTTAAACTCTCATTACGATCTTGTTTTATGCTGAGCAGATGGATGATAGGCTGCTGCTGGCGGCGTCCACCAATGAATTGTGTCACAAAGGATCTACTCAGTTCGGCGAAGGAGCTTATGGAGGCCGGGGTGAGTTTGGCGAACCATTGTCGCGTTGATCCCTTCAAGGTAATTGGGAATGTCCTACACATAATTTCGTCGGGGACGCTGTGTAGTTGCATCATGGTCTTAAAAGTTTCGAGGTGATCAAGTGGGTCCTTCGTACCGTCAAAGGTTTCAACGGATGACATTTTAAACTTCTTGGGAAGTGGGTAGTTCGTCACGTTAGGTACGAAGGGTGTGTTGGTTCGACTTACGAGGCAGTCCACTGTCTCGGGTCTCTGTGCTTTCATAGTGTTGAAAATGTCGTCTAGTTGATTTTGTACCTCTTTTATTTTTTCGTTCCAGTGGTTGGGAGCTCCTTTGAAATTATCTTGGAAATAGCTTCCATGCTCCATGCTCTGGTTCTCACCCTTGTCCTCTTGGAAAAGAAAGCCCCCACCATGAGAAAAGGGAGCTAGAAGAGGAGGTGGAGGTCCCCCGTGGGGAGCTCCCCTATGAAGGGCACCCAAGGGAACTCCAAATGGGGCGCCCAAATAGGGAGCAACAAGTTTTGGAGCTGCTTGATGTGCAGGGCGTGGAGCTGCTTGATGTGCAAGGCGTGGAGCAACTTGATGTGCAGGGCGTGGAGCTCTTTGATGTGCAGGGCGTGGAGCTCCTTGGGGTGCTCCATGTTGTGCACCTCCGTCAACAAGTTGTGGAGCTGCTTGATGTGCAAGGTGTGGAGCTCTTTTATGTCCAGGACGTGGAGCTCCTTGGGGTGCTCCATGTTGTGCACCTCCGTGGGGCCCTCCATGTTGTGCATCTCCGTGTGTTCCTCCTTGGGGTCCTCCATATTGTGCACCTCCATCAACAAGTTGTGGAGCTGCTTGATGTGCAAGGTGTGGAGCTTTTTTATGTCCAGGACGTGGAGCTCCTTGGGGTGCTCCATGTTGTGCACCTCCGAGTGGTGCTCCTCCTTGGGGTCCTCCATGTTGTGCACTTTCGAGTGGTGCTCCTCCTTGTCCAGCAAGTATGAGTTGCAGTAACTGTTGGTTTTGAGCAACCAGTTGTTGCATGGTCTCCAACATTTGCTGGGGATTCGGAGCTAGAGTATCAGGGACAGAATTGGTAGGCAGGGGAGCAATCTCTTCCTCTCGTGGAGGATTGTCTTCAGGTTGGTTCATGGATCAGGTAGTGATCACCATTAGTTCAATGGATGTAATGTTCAGGAGTGAGAATTTTGTCGTTTCCCAGAGACGGCGCCAAACTGATGATGCACAAAAATGGTTTTGCACACCACCTGTCAAGTGTAGGTAATAAATGCAGTGAAATCAATGAAAGAATTAAAAAAGACACAATTTATAGTGGTTCGGTCAATTCGACCTACGTCCACTCTTCAATGGCTTCAGTTGCCGGGTATTTTATTAATTCAGAGATATGGAGAATAGAGATACAAGCTTTGAGAGAATGGAGAATCAAAGAAAGTGGTCTCCGGTCGTCGATCTGTCCTCTGTAAGTGTTGGTGGGGCGTGACCTTCATCTCTCTTCTCCTCACAGATTGGGGCTACTTTATAGCAGCTAAGAGATCATTCTTGTGGAGATCATGACTTATCCTCAAGGCTACTTTATCGCAGCTAAGAGATCATTCTGGTGGAGATCATGACTTATCCTCAAGGCTACTTTATCGCAGCTAAGAGATCATTCTGGTGGAGATCATGACTTATCCTCAAGGGAAGGAGGAGGTTGGGGAGCTCTTCATGAAACGTGGTCAAAGCTTGGACCGTTTCCTTCGGTGGTGCAGATAAGCTTCTCATGCTCTCCTCTTGATGACGTGCTAAGCAAAAAGTCTAACCGGTCTTGGATTGTCTTGAGTTTGGTAGATTAAAAATGAGGTTGGGCTCCTCAACTGGAGTTGGACTTTAACACATAAATTGGACTATTTGGGCTTAACCCATCAACTTTAACTATTTTTGTTATATTGTTGAGCCGGCCTGAGTTGATTAAATACTTCATGGAATTTCCCAAAATGAAAAATTATAAACAAAATGACAGCTGAAGCCAATTGAAGGTTATGATCTCTTTCACTTGTCAATAATCGTCAAAGGTAGGCAGGCACCTCTCAAATTACTAAAATAATTGGAGAATTTTTCATTAATTTGACTATTGGAGAAGACTAATCCACCTCACCAACTTCAAATTATTTTAAAATTTTAAAATTCAAGTTGCTTCTTGATAAGATAATATTAGTTGAGTGAAAAATTCCTCTCTATTCCAAAGCAATTACAAGATGACCTAATTGTATGAAAATTGGAAGGAGATGAACCCTAATCAATAATCGTTGAATGCTAAGTGGAGGCCAATCCCTTTTTGGTTTTTTTAATCAGATTATGTGATGGGCCATTCATTTGTTTTATAAGTTTCAACCATTAATATCTATTTAATCTAATTAATATCGAGTTGAGTAATGCTACATGGACATAAAAAAAATATACTTAAAAATTAGATTTGATAATCTCAATTGTTAAATAGGTAGTGAGTCCCAATAAATACTAAGACCCACAGTGAAATCAATTGTTGAGATTATTAAGTTTAATTTTTAAGTCAATGTAGCATTACTCAATAGAGTTAGGTTATTTGAGCCAAATTTGAAATTCAAATTTAATTATAAAGTTAACTAACTAGTGTTATCCAATAAGTCCCAAAATCGAATAGGATTCAATTTTAAATAATCTAAAACACCTATCATTTAATATGAACTAAATTTAAACAAGAAAAATGCTATATAATTCAATGAAACTAAAAAACTAAAATTCAAATGAATATCATCTCTCAAATGGATGCTAGATGAGTGGATTCCACTAACAAAATTGATGAAACCTATTAATATAAGGAATTATATGTATTTAAGTTATAATTTTTTAGGTTCTCTATGAGTTATAAAGCATTGTTTATCTAATAATCAAATTGAATGATCGAGTTAGGGGTGTTAAAATATATAATGATACAAACATGACAAGAAAATTAGAGGATTTAGATTTTTTTTAAGTCTATTTATTTCATAAACGAGTGAATCTGACATGGTACGATTAATAAATAAATTAAATACGAGTGAAGTTAATTAAAATAAATATCTAACACGATTTATTTATATATTATATATTAGTCATACATGATTCATGTACAATATATACCCAATATAATATAATTTATTAGACATAAATTAATAAAAAAATAAAATATGGATAAAATATTTTATTAACATAAAGCTCTTAAAATTCGATACGAAATCATATGAGCAGGCGTGATTAGCAGCCCTAACTTATGAATACGCAGTCCGCTAGAGTCAAATTTAACGTCTGACTTTCTAGAAATCTCTCTCTTTCTCGAAAGCTCGGAGATGGTGGGAAAGAGTCCGAAGCAGCGCGTTATTCGTATCAATTTAAATACAACTTGAGACCTTTTTTCAATTAATTTTTGCAGTTTCCTTGTGACTTTGAGACAGTTATGGTATATAAAAGCACCATTAGACGTTAGACCTTGGCATCAACCAACTCTCTCTCTCTCTCCCTCCTCAAAGACCCTTCTTCTCTCCATAATTGATCTTCTCAATTCACTTCATTCATTGATTCATTCTTTTAGTCTGTCTGATACTTTAAAATCTCCGATGGAACACTTGTTGGGTCTTCTCAGAATTCATGTCCACAGAGGTGTAAACCTTGCTGTCAGAGATCTCAAGAGCAGCGACCCTTACGTTATTGTTAGATTTGGCAAACAGGTAATGTCTTGCCCTTCTACATAATTTCAGCTCTTGGGTTCATTTCTTTATTGAATTCTTGGATTGATTCGATAGTTCTGAGCTTGGCTAGAGAAAATTTGATGTAATCTGACTGGGACTTTTTTCTTTGAATAGTTTGTGATTTGACTGTTAAAAAACTTCAATCTTCTCTGACATAAAAGGTAGATCAAACCAAGAAAATTAAACCATCCAATTCTTCTTCTTGATCAGTTTTTTCTTTCTTGCTTTTCTGGCTGAACATTACTTCAGCAGATGTATATATGCATGTCTGACTTTCCGCTTGTGTTAAGTCATGTTGTTTTCTTTTGGTTTGGGGAAAACTATTACCTGATTTATTTTCACCCAAAATTTACTCTTCCCTTTTCTTCTTCTTCCCCTCCTTTCCTCTTGGAAAATATTAGCCTATTTCTTTGTTGGACCTCTCTCTCTCTCAAACAGACTCTGATAGACTTCTAAGGATCTGTACTCTGTTTGCAGGGATAATAAATATATCCCTATATTTTCTTCCATTGACTTTTCAAGTTATTACTTTTTTCTCACGAAATGCCAAAGAGAGTTGAATTTGAAAGGAATTTATGTATCAACAGTGCTGCTGAGACCTAATCTACGATGGTAAGATATTGTGGTAATTAGATTAGCAGTGGGTCTTAACTTTGAATGAAGTCGAGTATCAATTTCTATAAGCACTTAGATTTCTAAATTATGTCTTTAAATTAAGTAAACTAGCATTAATCGTATTAGGTATCTCAATTCACCTTCGGTGAAATGCTTGCATTCAACATTTGAAGCTTCCATTTGTTTATTTTTTGCTAATGTTAATCAATGTGATACTGGAACAGAAATTAAAGACTCGTGTGATAAAGAGGAATCTCAATCCCGAGTGGAATGAAGATCTGACACTCTCTGTCTCAGACCCAAATACTCCAATCAAGCTAGTAAGTATTTTGTAACTGGTTCTGGTTCAATTGAATTATACGAGAATAGTGTGTAGCCTATACATAGTGTCTCATAGTATAGAAAGATTAGGGGAAAGATATGGAGTTGCTTGATTCAGTTAATGAGTACCTCAGTAGCTAGGGTGAGAAGGGAAATGATCGATTAATCCCTTTCCGGTATTCAGCATTAAAGATGATTTGAAAACTAATGAGATCCTCTACATCTCGGACTTTTCCTCTTAGGAAGTCCTATAAACTAAATCAATAAAGGAAATGGAATAAAAGGCATTGAAGTTCTTGAGATAACTCCATGTTTATCAAATGCTATATGTTCATTTGCTTCATAGCGCTTGTGGAAATCTTCCCAAATGTATGGAGTTATAGACCACTAAAAACAACTACTACACATGAATAGTGCCCATAATTAATCAGCCTCATATAGCATCTACAATGAAGGGATTAAAAGAATAATAGCAATCTGTATTAAACATTTGACAATCCTTGAGTGACATAAGTGATTCATTTACCATTTTATTCTTCCTACTTGCAGATGGTGTACGACAAGGATACATTCACGCCCGATGACAAAATGGGAGATGCAGAGTTTGACATTAAACCATTCGTAGAAGCTGTGAAGATGCACTTGCAAGACCTCCCTAATGAAACCATAATCACAAAAATTAAACCAAGCCGGGAAAACTGCCTTGCTGAAGAAAGCTGTATTATCTGGACAAACGGCAAAGTTGTCCAAAATTTGGTTCTGAAACTGCGAAATGTCGAGCGAGGTGAAGTAGAACTCCAGCTGCAGTGGATTGATATTCCAGGTTCTAGAGGTCTGTCCATGTAATGTGCTTGGCCTGTTTATTGCTGGGTGTGATGTACAGAGTTTTGAAGTGTATAGACACCAACACCAACTGAGCATTTCACCTAGTTTCCTTTTCATATACATGAAGAACAGAGTGTTGATTATTATATGTGGTATTTTTCTCACAAGTATTGATTTCAACAAAATGGCTATATGTAAAGAGGCTGAGACATTCTTTCATTCTTTGAATCCTGTTCTCTCATTACAATGTTTTTTGACGTTTTACCAATGAATGTACGAAGTTTTTGTTAATTTTATTGGACCAGCCGGGTTTTCTTGCCTCTTACCAATTAGAGGTTTTCTTGTCTTCTCTAATGAGCAGGCTTTCTTGTGGAAAAAAAAAACTCAGGGCATGAGGCTCCATTCACTACGGTTTTGGAAAGTTCAAATGTATACAATCTTACGCGGTGAGACTGGTTTTATCACTCGACATAGTGATATAGCAACCTTATGGATCGGTCAAGATTCCCTCTTATGGAATCTTGCTAAAACATATTCAAAAATTTCTCAACCATAGCGGATTGAAGAGTGATGCGGTGGATATTCACTAATCGCTAAATAACCCTTCGGGGTGTGTTTGGTTTAAGCATTAGAAAAGATTGAATTGGACAAATCCGTCCATTCTATACCTATCCGTCTAACCCTTGAATTAATTATAGTGATAATACTTCTTTATTCCATGTTTAAATCAAATATTAAGAAATAGTGAAATCCATGTTTATCCCATCAATACTTTATTTGGAGAAGTATTAAACGATGGTAAACACATTAAATTTCTAAAGAACCCTCAAATTAAAGATTGATATTTATATCTTAGAAATTTTTTAGGGTAAAAATGTCTTTTATTCAAATACATCCCAACCAGATTATTTAAACCTACAAAAAAAGTGTATTTATTTAAGAGGCCGTATTATTTTTAGATGATAATACCGAATCAATATAAGAGGGATAAGGTGGGGCCAACATTATCTTTTTCAATCTCTTTTTCCTAATACCTAAGTAAACACACCAACAGATAACTAATTAGAGTTGACGTGAAGGGTCAACTCAACAGTATTAAAAATAACGGGTATTTGACCGTGAGTATTTTTTTTAGAACTTATTTTGTTTTAAGTACCACAACAAAACTTATTATCTATTAAGTCATCATGATCATCAAATGATAGTCATTAAGTACACATTTCAAATTTTTTTTTTTTTTGTATTACCTAATTACTTCTACCATAAATATTGCCTATTAATATTAGTTTCAGTGTTTATATATATATAACAACATGTTCAACAAAAAAATAATAATATTAAACAATAACATTCTCAATAAAAAAATTAATTAAAAATTTAATCATTACAATATACTGACACCATATGTGAGTACTTAAAACTATTGTCTTGCCCACAATAAAATAAGTATTCGCTGTATGAAGTCGCATCACTATATCAACAAATTAAGTCAATTTTTAGATTCAAATAATATTTCTCATAATTACCTTATCTAGATAGGAAGTACTAAATTATTCAATGGTAAATTAATAAAACCGTACTATATGTAAAGCGGTAAACACATGTTAAATTCCTTCAAACCAACTGCATCGGTGAGGGAAAAAAATAAATAGAAGAATGCGTTTGTATAGTATTATTAGAAGCATGTTTGGTTTGGGTATTAGTATAGGATATGATTGAACAATTAATTTCATTTCAATTCACAGTAGTGATAATATCCACCATTTTATCTTATCTTTATTACATCATGTTTGAATCCATGTTAATATAAGATATGAGTCCATTATTCTAATACCAATATCATATTTGGATAAAGTATTTAGTGAGTCGTATTGAGTTCAAAAAAAAAAACCCTACATCAATACATAATTGTTTAACCTATAGGTATAGTCTTCTCATTTTGTATGGTACTACCAATCATGTCAAGTAAAATACCACCTATTACAGGACATTTGTTTATACTAAATATGAAGCGTTAAATGACAATTTATTTTTCGACCAGTACTAAAATATCTTTAATATCAACACTTATAACATGATATAAACTTAGTATTAAGTGATTATTGGATTAATTTAGTCAAATAACATCTTTTAACATACCAAACAAAATGCCCCATATATGTAAAACGAGGACATACCGACGCACCCTTCCGCCTGTGCGGGTCTGGACTTGGGAGTGGTTGGTTGGGTTTTAGCCAGGGATAATTTTCGGCCTTCGTAGCCTTTTTTGGACATTATTCTCTCATTTTTATTAAAAATATTTTTAAATAGTGCTTGTTTACTTATATTTTTGTTTTATTTGCATGCAGCGCCATTCTAGGCAAGTGAGGTTGCCGCCAAGGGCTCAATTCGTGTATGTCTCTTAAAATGATATAATTAAATTTAAAAAAATATAAATATTTTAGAATTTTATGTCAAGTGATTAAAAATTTTAAGAATATTTTTTTAAAATTATAAATATATGTACATTAAAAAAAGTAAAAAAAAAAGATCGCACGATATTATTGTACAAAAAATTACAAAACTCTACTCTATCATTTATTTAAATTCTCAATAATTCTGACATATTCATTTAGTTTAATTTTCTTGAATTATAATTTTTTAAGATAGTTTGATCTTAAAATAATCATTCGCATAATGTGTTTATTTTGCAAGTTATTTTTGACCTTGAATATATCTACTAAAAGATATGAATATAATATTTTAAAATTTTAAAATAATCTAATTATTCAATTATACATAATTTAGGGCCTCATCTAAAAATTTTGTCCATGACCTTAAATATTTTTGGGCCGGCCCTGTTTATTTGGATCTATTTTCATCGTTCAAGTTTAATAGCATGTGTAGTAATATAAATATGAACATATATCATCCTATTATTTACATACAAAAATTCATATGAATTGCTTTTATCATATAGTGACTAAAATGCTTTTTGCTATGATAAAATTATTTTTTTCTTAGAAACAGTCTTCAAAAAATATTAGAAAACAGAATTTTGGAAGATGGAAATCCAAGTATAGACGGCTATTGTTCTTCGTACTAAAAATTTATCACCAATATTATTTAAATTTAATTTTTTGATAGAATAAGTCAATTAATCTATTATTACTTTCAAAAAAAAAAAGTAATCTATTATTACATTTTAAATGATAGCAGATTCCAATTAACATTTGGTTACACTATTATTTCAATAGTAATAATTTATGACGTCAATAATTTAGACCAATGGAGTAAGTTCAAATTTCAATGCATAAGAAGTATACTTCTTGTTCAATAAGGAAAGCTACCTTTCAATCCCAATTACTGTTGGTTTTCATTTTCAAAATATGATATGAATTGAATACGAAATAAATGGATCAAACACAAAATTAAATGGGTAGGTAAAAAAATGGGTCAACACATTTAAACCCAAAAAAATGTGTTGGTTTCAAGTTAAACTTGGGTTGACCCAATTTTAACATAATTAATCCATATATTTTAAATGGGTTGACCTGAGATGAACTTGAACCCGACCTAATCCGTTGTATACTCATTTAATCGCTTATCAAAGTATATACAAGCAAAAAAAACCTTAACCCTAAAACCATTTCATTTCCTATCCACCTACCAGAGCCGCTGCCTCTATTGCCTGTTCGTCACGAGTCACTCTCACAAAGGCTGAAGCTGAAAGTTGCAAGCACAAGCTGTGCACAAAGGGCTTCACTCCGGCGTCGTCCTTCCTCAGGGCTATCGAATATCTCAGATCGTCGCCAATCGTCCCTTCTCAAGACTTAAATCTTATATTTGTCTGTCGAATATTTCAAATCTAAGAAGATATACAGGTGATTTGTGAAACTGGTTAAACAGGTCCCTATAAGTGTTAAATAGGCTAAACAGGTTGTATTATGTGTTAATTCAAATCCGATCCATAAATTAAATAGGTTAAATAAGTTGGATTTAGATAACTCGTTAAATTGTCAGTGTCAGATTAGAATTTAAACAACTTGACACGATTAATTAAATGTGTCAAATTTGAGTTTAGAATTTTTTGACATGAACTCAAATCCGACCTAACACGATTAACTGACATGACACATTTTGACACCCTTAATTTTCATTGTTAGGTGACAGCCCAATGCAATGCCAAGCCCATTGGCCCGCCTAGTCCATTCGTTTCCTAAACAATCTTACGTTTCCAAAACCCTTTAGGATTTATAAACTTATCACAAAAGTTGGTCTATATAAGGACAATAGGTTTCACATAAAGTTCAACGGTGTGATATTTTCCTTCAACACACTGATTTTCTCAATATTCAGTCTTTAAGGTTCGTACAGGTACATGTACAGGTACAGGTTTTTAGGGTTTGCATTGGGTATCTTGCAAATTTAACAATAATGTCGTTTCAATAATGTGCCCGATTCGAACAAGCTTATTTTTGTTATCCTCTCTCTCTTGAAAAGTCTCATCTGAAATGTGTTGTTTGTGATATTTCAAATATAATAAAACCACTTATTAAAATTTCTGATTTGAAACATATAATGTATAACAAAACGGTAACAATCAAGTGCGAAACAGTTACACAGTAAAAAAATCCGAACTAGTACGATCCAATGGATTCCGAAAATTAAATTTTGAGTTAAGAAATTCACGCCCACTTAATTAAACCAATTTTTTTTAAAAAAAATAGGATTTAGTCTAAACCACATCCGTATTCATGCCCGTGCTCGTGCTCGGGCCCGGCTGGATCGTGGTTAGGCAAGGCAAGGCAAGTCAGGCAAGCGACGCGCGCGCGTGTGTGGTTGAACTGAAGCCATATAGGCACTCGCTCCGCTCATAAAATTGTGGTACCCTTTCGGGCCCAATTTCTTAGAACAAACTTGACATATATATACCCATGTAGAATTTCTTTGTCAACCAATGTGTGATTAGTATAAAATTCCATATTGCACAACCATTATTTTCATGTTTCAAGATGGTCAATTTGGAGTCTATTTTCTCATTAATTTCTTACTCGATTTGAGCAAATAAATATACTACATTATTCTCCTCACGGAGTAGAATACGAACCCACAAAAGTGTACTCGAAACAACGAATGAGTTCCACTTTAATTTAGGCTCAAAATCGACCAAAAATTCAATTTTTTTACTTAAAACACTGTTTTGGTCCAACAATCCCCCACATAAATGAAAAATTTGCTGTTAATATGCAAATGATAATGCTAACACACTATAGAGAGTATATCTTTGAAAAGATCGTGCATCGAAATAGGTAACTTTTGGCCTTGAACTTTCCTTGGTAAAAGCCCATCGGACTTACTGGCTAAATAGTGAACATGATTGAATAGACTTCACGTAGCCTCTTCCCTAACACAATTGGTTCTCATGATTGTGTTTATTTCGGCTCTGAACAACTCTTGATTTTTATGAGTGCTTTATAGAATTCAGTTTTTATAAATTTTCACAAGGGGTGCAACTTGGGTTGGACAACTCAATTTTAACCCGAAAAAATTAGGGGTTGGCCAAGGGTTTGTAATACTTGGGTTGGGCTTAGATCAAAAAATTTCAACCCGAATTCAATTTAGGTTGGGCTCAAGTTAAAGCCTCGAGTTCATGGGTTCAACCCGAACCCGACAAAATAAAAAAAAATTATATATATATATCGTACAAATTGATTTTTTATTTTTGTTATATCGTTCTCTATTTCTCTTGTTCATTTTCATTTTTGTTATAACATTAGCACTGTTAAAAATTTGGTTGAAGTTATTAGTTGTTAATTTAGGTGAATATTATATAATATATGTATTAGGTTTGAAACAACAAACCTATTTTGGACTCTACCTGAACTCAACCCGAATTGAACCCGTAAAGTAACCCGAAATTATTAATCCGAATTCAACCCGAGTCCACCAGAATTAAACTCGGGTAGTATATGGGTTGAGTTTCTTAACCCGAGGTAACATTAGGGTTAGAGTTGAAGATTATATACCTAGAGTTGGGCTAGGATTGACTGTCCAACCCGCCCGAGTTATACTCCTAAATTCTCATAGGAGTGGCCCATTCACACACATTTAGGTGACTACTATTAGAAATATCCTACTATATCCCACTCTGATTTTTCAAGGTATAAGATTCATTAAAATCATAACTTACCCTAATAAACTCTAAATGCAATACTAGTTTATCATATGAATTAGTAGGAGATATTATCTTCTTAGTGCTTCTTTTGAATCACGCATAATTCGGTTATTCCTTTAAACCTAGATTTTGGAATCTCTAGTTAACTAGGTAAGGTTGCCATTAAGGTGACTTTTGTTTCATAAGCTTTAGCCTCATTTTCCTCGATGTGCAATTTACTTACTCTCTTGCCAAACCTTTAGTAAGCGGATCCGCTAGATTATCTTTTGATTTTATATAATCAATAGAAATAATCCTATTTGAGAGCAATTGCCTAATAGTATTATATCTACAACGTATATATCTTGACTTACCATTATACATGCCACTTTGTGCCCTACCAATTGCAGATTGACTATCACAATGTATACAAATTGCTGGAACAGGTTTAGGCCATATTGGAATATCTTTTAGAAATTGACAAAGCCACTCAGCTTCGTGTCCTGCTTTATCTAAAACAATAAATTCAGATTCTATTATAGATTTGACAATACATGTTTGTGTAGAGGATTTTCAAGATACAGTTGCACCACCAAGTGTAAAAATAGAACCACTTGTGAATTTTGCATCCTTCATATTAGATATCCAGTTTGCACCACTATAACTTCAAATACAGTTGTATATCTTGTATAGTGCAATTCAAAATTCAGGGTATATCTTAATTATCTAAGAACCCTGATAATTGCCTTCCAATGGTGTACTCCCGAATTATTTGTATATCTACTAAATTTACTAACTGAGTATGTTATATCCAATCTAGTGCAGTTCATAATATACATTAGACTATCAATGATACAAGAAAATTCCAATTGTGATATGTTTTGCCCAGTATTTTTAGACAAATAAAAATTTATATCAACTATTGTTCTAGCAATGCAGCTTTCATCTTTATCGAACTTCTCAAGTATTTTCTCAATATAATGTAATTGAGATAATATAAATCCACAAGATGTTTTAAAAATTTTAATTGCTAGTATAACATTTACAATATCCAAATCCTTCATCTCAAACTTACTAGACAACATTTTTCTTAGTAGCTGTAATAATACTATTATTACGACCTAAAATAAGCATATCATTCACATATAGGTAAATAATAACATATATATTATTTGTGTCTTTGACATAGACACATTTATCACATTCATTCATTGTGAAATCATTTGACATCATTACCTTGTCAAATTTTTTATGCTATTGTTTTGGTGCTTGTTTTAAACCATTAAATGATTTAACAAGTCTACACACCTCTTCTCTTGTCCTAGAGAACGAACCCTTTGGTTTGATCCATATAAATTTTCTCATTTAAGTTCACCTTTAGGAAAATTATTTTCATCATCTATTTGGGTATTTGAATATTATGCAACGCTGCA